CACATTCTGCTGCGCCAGAAGCTTATACAGGCATCGGCAAGATCACTGTCACCTTGCCGCTCGACACATATGGTACAAAGAGTGTCAGAGTTACACAGACTTGGTTGCAGGCGTCAGCCGTGTGTTGCGTTACAGAACCTTGATGTTCGCCGTCTTCTGCTTCATCCACCAGGATATTTTTGTGAGGTTCAGAAATTTCCTTTTAACTCAAAAAGTTAGTTTTTACTGCTGTAGAGCACATATGGCAAATTCAAGGCCCACGGGCCTAAAGTGGACCACCAGATAATTTTATTTGGTCCATCTGAGATTATTATGTGTATGGTTGTCTTCGAATAAATGTTTTTTTCTTAAAGAGTCTGTTATGGTGGTTATGGGTGGGTAAAACGAGTAATTTGTGGTTCTGCTTTTCTTCTCTTTTTGAATTTAAAGTCCAATTAAGCTTAAATTTGCCATAGACTGTTCAATACAGTTCATCTCCTTGACACCCCAGTTATACATAATATAAGGAAAAGAAAGAAAGAAAGAACTCCATTATTCTCTTGGGAGTTTCCTTCAGGAAGTACAAAACCATAAAAACACACGAAAAAAGACACACACAAAAAAATAAAAATACAACAAGAGAAGCAAAAAAGAAAAGCACCCCAACTGTTGAAACAGTGGACAGATTGTTATGGAGTCGACCAGAAACACAGTTAAAAAAATGTAGGAGAACAATTCACACAGGTATATAAAACTGAAGCCATTGGCTTCTACACGTCCTTTTATAACTCATCCTGACAGTCACATCTGTCTTCCTCACCGTAGCCTCCCCCAATCTGCTTCCCTAAATTAAAACATTGTAATTTGACATATTTTTTTTTGTGGTTTTTCTCTCTTACTAATTTATGAGCCTTAATTTGTTCCATTTACTGATAGACATGTTGTGGTCTTTTTCTTTTTTTTTCATGCTGCACTTAATAATTCAATATGCACAATACATCTGCTCAGCTGGTGTCATTATTTTCCTTCCATGTTACTGCGCTCTCGTATGTGTTTGGAGGACGTATGAGCTGGAGTGTGTACATGCATGTAATGTCATTTCCTGTTACATGTTGCATCCGTCTCTGGTAGCAACAGCAGATGGACACTCATGTAACAACCATCATTCATCATCATCAACATACGGACACAGACACGGAGACACCACACACACACACTCAGAATGACAATAACTTTCTGGGAGAAATGAATACTGCAGCCACCTGTGACATTTAACACTGTGTTAATGCCGGTTGTGAGGCTTATTTCAAAAATAACACCGTTGATCTCGTAATAATAATAACAACATTACACACAAATGTGAGAGAGTAAGGGCCCTGGCTTCTAACAAGTATGTAATTGGAAAGTAAGTCTTGACAAATGCTGCCTGTCACAGTGCTGATAAATTCCATGTTTACAGAGGATGAAAAAGTCTTTGTTATGAGCCTGTATTAATAGAAGGAACCTTGTCCTTTTCCCCTGGTTTTGGATCCTTTGGTATAGAAAACGAACTACTTGTCAGTACATCAGTGTAGATTAAAAAAAAAAATTATATAAATTATATACATATATATATATATATAATTTATATAATGAATATACAATGTATGAATATATAAACTATATATATATAAGCAAACTATATATATATAAGCACAAATAAATAAATCATATATAAGTAACTGTCCATCATATATATATGTCACATAAAAAGTTATAAGGCATTTAATGTCCATTGTTTTCATCATCTTGGTTTTATTGTTGGTATATTTGGTATTTTGTCTGTGCGTGCGTGCGTGTGTGTGTGTGTTCATACTATTGAACTGGATAAATTCTGCTGGGAGCTCATTGGATGTTGAAAAATCCTTACCTGCAGTCGCTGCTGTTGTGCTCTGACACACACACACACACACACACACACACACACTGAAGATGCAGCATCACTGAGTAGAGAATGATGGTGAAAGTGATGAAGGGATGGTAGGAAGAGGGAGACTGGTGTGGAGCAATGGTGCAATGATTAGAGGATTACTCTCACCTGAGATGCTGCAGGCAGTAAGAGTGAGAGATTAAGGAGGGACAGACTTGTAAGGAGGGATGATGGCTGAGGGAGTGAAGACAGAATGATTAGTATGAGTTTTCCCCTCACTGATGAAAAACACAGGGAACCAACAGGGAGGGTGAGCAGCCAGGAATACGTGGAAAGCCAGAGACAACAGGGTGTGGGGGGGGTGAGGGGGGGGATTTGGAAAATGTGGAGAGCTTTGGCACAGAAAGCGAGAAGAGAACCTGGATGGCAGACGGGCAGGGCCAATAATTATGGGATTGTGAGGAGCCTTAGGTGAACGCGGTCTGAGTAAGACGCGGGTTAGATACAGAGCACGGGGGGAAAGCGGCAGAAGCGCTTATATGGAATGGAGGGAGACAAGGGCAAGGTGCGCTGAGAGGTGCAGGAATGAAAGGAATAATCTCAGCAGAGAGGGAGAACGTCAAAGCAGTTGGCTGAAGGCAACCAGTACAATCATCACCTCATACCTCGTACTTTTGTTTCACCTGTCTTCTTTCATCTCTGCAGTTTTCAGTTCGCGTGTTCACTGCTGCTCAGGTGACTTTTTGCAGCTGGATTTTCTTTCTTTTCTTTATTGTTAAATAAGTACTTCAGCAGTCACCTATAGTAATTTGATGCAGTGGAAGAAAAAAAAACTCAAGTCAAACTTTCATAAGTTCATGAGCTGAATATAATTATTTGAATGTTTTTTTCTCCCTGCATTGATCTGGCTCCACATCCTCCAGCTGCCTTCGCCTGTCCTGCAGCAGGGCTTATCTGTCATTCTGTAATGATGCCTGTGTGTGTGATAGCGGAACGACTTGTAGGTTGTCTGCACCATATGTACAGCTCACGCCTAAGGACACTCAATTCCACCCTATAGACGCTGGAAAAGACGCAGGGAGAAAGGGAATATGTGGGGGAATCACGGCAATAAGTGCACGGTCCCTGTAGCTACTGTAGGCTGTGCATATATTCTCCCCCGTTAGCCAGACGTGGCCTAATCAGCAAGCTAATTAGCGCTCTTTGTAACTGCGTCGGCCTCGTGTAACTGATTGCATTAACGACTGCCACGCATCAAACAGTCATGTCTCACGCTTGTGCATCTCATTATAGATTAAGGACATGCAAGGTTAAGGCCAGACTTTTGAGTGGGAACAAAATGAGGAAAATTTTCTGACACAGCTGGTGGTCAAATAAATGTTTTTGGTTTTTTTCCCTTGCCGATGTGAAATCTATATTTCATAGACCTTATAAATTACTAAATGCTTTGTTCTAATTTGTGGTAATTTCTATTTTTCCCCCTCCGTTTCTGTTTAAGTGTCATGACAAGTTAACATCACTCTGGCTGCATTACTCTTAACGGCATGTATGTGCACAGAGCATATTTATCCCATAAGTTTAGACTCCTCCAGGCAAATGTTTATACATGTCTTATCTTCCTCGTGAACACTCCACAATCTGTCTCCATTAGGTGCTGCTGAAGCCATGCTTCTCCTATTGGTCTCTTCAGTTTCTGTTAGATGAACGCAATTCAATCATGTTTAAAACAAATGTGTTTTTTTTTCTTCCTTTTATCGTCTACAGAAAAAGCAGAGGACGAAAGAACTGTCACAACTTTTCCACTCGTACAACCCCTACGACCACAAGGTAAGACCCCTGTGTCGACAGATGTTTTGTGAAGAAAGTGTGTGTATATAAAGTGTCTGTATGAGTTTACATAAATCTAACAAAAAAAAAAAGTCATATTATCCTGGCAAAAACACTTGATGTCTGAAGACTTCTGCACTTCAGTGTGTTTCATCTCAGTTGTATTTTCTATCAAAAACTCACAGTATTGCTCTTCAGTCACCAGAAGATGTCACTCGACATTAAAAGTAGGTCAACATTGTTGAATTGCCTTTCACGGCTCTGATGAGTTAGTTGTCTCCTCAAGATGAACACCTCTTGTCAGCCATCGACTGGATGAGTTGTTCCTGATTACGGTGTTGTGTGTGTGTGTGTGTGTGCGCGCGCGCGCGCGCGTGTGGTCGTGTCACATGTGTGTGGACAAGGACGTGTCACATGCCTGTCTTCAGTCTAAGTGATGTTCTTGAAAATATAAAACATGAACACCATGTGGCACAACAGTAGCTTTTTGACCTCTGCGTGGTGGACGACAAGTCAGTTCATCCTTCATTGACAAACAATCCTACAAACCATACTTTTTAAGGCGACACACTTTCACGTCTATTGTTATTTGGGTTTTGTTGTACAGAGGAAAAACAGTGACGAGCTACAGCACGGTGGCTGCTGGGAACGTGTCGCTGATTGAAGCTTCATCCAGCAGATGTGGCCGTTTGTCATTTTTCCAACTTTTTTTTCCAAGAGTTTGTTCCTTGAGAAGAGTTTGTGCCTGTGGTGCAGTTGTTATATGTCACACGTTAATTAAAGGGATATAGGAGAAATCACGCTTTCACTGTGGCAGACACGGAGCTCTGCCTCCCACACACTCAAACACACACACACACATACAGAGACTATAATAACGGTACATGTGGAGCACACATGAGCAGGAGTCGGTGGAACAGAGCATACACACACACACACACACACACACAAAACAAACAATGAATGTAACTGAGTGAAGTTTTGAAGAAACATTCTTATTACTGCGTCTTCTTAATTATTATTTTTTGTTGGCAGTATCATATCAAAGAATAACTGTTTCGTGGTGTAACTCTGGACTAAACTTCACCTTGTCTAATGTGCTGCTAAGAACGCTGGCAATTACTGTAAATTCTGTGTACTATTGCAATAAGTACTTCCCCTCCTCCCCAAGATAGGCCCTTTAATTATGTATTATTATTCCATTGAATATTTCTAATGGATCATATGTACATGTTGTTTGTACTGCAGTGACACTACCTTCTGTTTTTATTTTGAAGCCCAAACTGGAGAAAACGGGGCTTGGTGTTAGCACGATTAGCTTACATTAGCAGGTGGGAAAATGCCTGCAAAAGGATCACTTTGAAGTGCAAGTCCATACTGTAATGTACTACCATACCTTTTCTTTGTTTAAAATAGACTTAAAGTTATTAAAAAGTTAGCTTACTTTCTCTTTGACATCTCTGTAATTCAACATTTTTACACTTCATTTATTGACCGTTGTATTCAACATTTTTACACTTCATTTATTGTAAATCGGTTACTTGTATAAAAAAAAGTATTTTTCTCTCTTTAGAATGAGCTGAATTGATGCACCTTGGAGTAAAAGTCAACCAATTTACTGATAATATTACAGATAATACTACAAATAGTCCTTATACAAATGTACTTTTGTCAGGTCAGGCAAGTTTATTGTGAGTCCACCACAGAGCTTAACCTAGAACGGTCGGCCTGAGGGTTTATTTATTTTTTTATAGATAGTGTGGGCATAAAAATAAATCCTTTTGCATTATAAACTCAGATAGCCTTGAGATATGATTGGACGATAATAAATCTAATGTCAAGCATGCTTCCTGCCAGATCAACCACGGCTCGTGCGCGACCTCACTCTTGTCTGCACACGGTGGGAGCACTGAAGCAAAATAGCTTGTATTAAGTCGGTGTTGCCGTTAGATAGAAATAAATGAACTCTGATAATGTCCCTCATTTTATATTAAAGTCCCTCAGGTGCGTGGCCTTTCAGTGTACGGTTTATGTGTGGATATTACGTGTATGTGTGTGCATGTAGTACGTGTTTGTTGGTTAGAGTCAGATAGAGAGACAGGACGAACATGAGGATTTAGGTAAAAGGGAGAATTATTTTTATTTTTAATGCCCATCCTCCTATAGGTCCGCTGAGGTCAGACTGACTGAAGTGGGGGAGGGAAGGGGTTGGGCTGGTGGGACTTTATTATTCAGTAGCTCCAGGCTACAAACACTGAATGAAACAGTGTTTTTAAATGAACTAATGGTTGTTGTTGGTTTTTTTGTTTTTTTTTTGTATCGTACTTGTTTCTTAACCTCCAGTGAATGGGTTCAAACCACGGAAGTAGGAAAAGACACAGGGGAACAAAAACGGCAGTGAGAGAAAACAAACATTAATATTTGTATTTCAATCAACTGTCCTGTTTATTTATTTGTCTGGTTTTTTTTGGGGGGGGGGTTGTTTCCTTTTTTTTTTTTTCATGTGCTTCTGTGGTCCAATGGATCTGAGTTCCATGTTTTCCAGCGTGCAATATGCATGTAGACAATCCATCTTGTGTGTGTTTGCTTATGTGTGTATGTGGGTTTGTTTGCGTGCACTGTGTGTGTGTGTGTGTGTGTGTGTGATGATTAATGTGAAGTATCTTATAGCCAGATGGTGCTGAACAAGGCCCATCCATCAGCAATGAAAAGACCAGTGGGCAGGAAGTTGGCAGAGCACTCTGTCTACTGCCCATGCCCTGCACTGGACACACACACACACACACACTCACACACACAGACACACACTCAGACTCTCTAAAGACTCGGCTGTGTAACCCACTGAGCCATGTTAAGCCATGTGTTTTGTTTTGGAATACAGGTTCTTCCTCATTTTTTTGGTGCCTGGGGCCCACATGAGTGATGGTGCCCCGCCCTCGATGCCAATTTTTGTATATAGTCTTGAATTGTACAAGTCTTCAGTCTATTCTGTCCCAAGAGGTGTCTTCAGTCTATTCTGACCCAAGAGGTGGCTTGATGTCGTTTTTTTTTGTTTTTGTCTTCAGTCTATTCTGACCCAAGAGGTGACTTGATGTCGTTTTTTTTTTTGTTTTTTTTGTGCAGAGAATCAGAAACAGCTCTATTGTCTGTGAGACATGGGACCCTGCATCTCTAAGACATTACAGCTGATTTAGCTTCTGTTGTATGTTTTACTGGAGTTGCTCTGCTTCCTGCACAACAGGACGACTTGAAGGTGACAAGCACCAAAACTGTTCTGTCGTTTAAATGCAGCAGGTGGCGACTGCTTTTTGGTCGGTCGGTGAGATATTCCAGGACGCTTGTCTGTGCTGACTGTATTTTACTCCCCTGTGCCAATGTGTGTTTAATTAGTGGTTTATTGGTAGAGTCCACATGTTCACACTGACATTTGCTGTCTTTACAGTTTTCTTCTGTCACCTGCTGTACTTTTCTTTTTTCCCCCTGTCCAGTTCCAGGTTGTGGAACTCCCAGGTCTTTCTCTGCCAACTCAATTTGTTTGTGTCTGTGTGTGTGTGTGTGTGTGTCTGTACACTCTCCACTGCTTCTAGCACAGCTAACAAAGCCCCTCTCACCCCTCATATTCCTCTAAACACACACACACACAGTTGCGACACATGCATTCCCCATGCTGTGTTTATTGGCCTGAATGACAGGGGTGACAGTTTTCCCTGAGGCAGGAGAGGAGGGACAAGCTGTCAGCATGGCCCATTGCATCTGCCCCAGCACACAAAACACAACAGAGAGAGAGACGGGGCCAGGGGATAAAAGGAGAGGTGGAGGTGGTTTAACAAATACAGAAGAACAAAACAAAAGGCAAATAAACCACTAATTACACTCAATAAACTTCTCCCCCAATTTAAACATTCGGTGACATGATTAGCCTCCAAAGAATTGAATTTTTTAAATGTATTTCTAGCTGTCTCCATTCTTTCTCTTTTAATTACTTCATCACTGTTGAATGAGAGTCTTCCCCGTACATTGTGCTGCTGTTGTGTTGTTGGTGAAAAGCTGACGTCCGTATTTGTCAAACTTGACGTTCGTCTGCTGCACTTTTTCTGTCTTTTAATTGGATTATTGTTCAGGGACAAGTGAAGGAGCAGATGAAAAGCCCGTAATGTTAGCCACGATAATCCACTGTGTGGTCATTGTTCTGCGCATTTTACATTTACAGTTGTGTCTTGCAATTTATTTTTTAAAATAAATAATGCTAAATATAAATATTTATATGATGTTTCCCTCTGGCAGAAGAAAGACGGTTCTCCCTGTACTTTTACCTTTCCCCAGAACTCTGCAAGATGAATATTTTTCTTTCAGAGAGAAGGGACAGTGCAGGAAGTGACTCACATTTACCTTATGGTTGTCAAAATGTCCTAAGAGACACTGACGTCCACAACTTATATTAGATCCTGTCACTTGTTTGGTTTGCAAACTTTTTATACAAATAATTTTGAAGGGATTTGTCAGCAGTTGAGGAAAAAATATGTATTTTAAACACAGAATATTGTCAGACTATTGACTATTAGCAGTGATGCTTATTTCTGTAAATGGGATGACATTTGAAGCTCAATTCCAAACATTTCTTCTCGAACAGTTTTTTTTTTCTTTTTTTTTTACTAATTTTTAAAAGCCATTTCCTCCTTTACTTTACTGCTAACAGGATAACAGACAGAAGAGTGGAACATTCTCATAATGATAAAAAGATGGAGAGTTATTGGAGTGTGGAGCAGCTGCAGATTCAACACACACACACACAGACAAACACACACACGTACACACTGCACACTGTTTTTTTTTTTGTGCTCCTCCATCAGTTCTAGGCAATGTGTTTTCTAATGATTCCCCCATAACCTGTACACTCGTGACACACACCTACGATATGTCAGCCTCTGATAATTGTGTCCTGGCTCTCTCTCCTCACTTATCTGTTATGTGCTGCACACATAGAGGAGCCAGATGGTGTA